CTTAATTACTTTGCGCCGTTTTCTACTACTTTCCCTCGTCTAACTTGTCATTCCAACATTCTCCTAATTATCAGTTCCATAAGATCACCGCCTCTTGGTTATATCGTGTTTTTTTTTTAATTTCTGTTTCGTTTGTTGGATCTTCCCGCTTCCACTGAAGAATTCCTTATGCTAAATCGTAGGCCAGGACATTACTGGTGTTCAGGGATGAAAAGATGAACCGCTTCCTGCAGACTGAGACAGAAAACAGACACAGACAACGAGACAGCCAGACAAACAGCATTCAGTTCCTGTCTTACAAGATTTTTTTCAGTCTTTATCTTATTATTTATCAGCACTCGAAGGCGCCAAAGATGACACCACAGTTTATTTGCATTGTCCCTTACATTAACAGTTGCGCACCTTAGAATACGTTTCGTGCGCCGGTGGAATGGCTCATCGTGATAAATTAGCATACAGTTTTATTATTACAAACAACTGATAGCCATATCACGTACTCTATTTTGTGGTAAATATGTGGTTAACTTGGAATGTTTAAAGCGCTCCTGTTTAAATAGTGTATAATGGCATTATTTTTTTTCCTCTTTCGGGAGGTAGGAAATCTTGTTCGATATGTCAATTAAATTCACAAAAAAGCCAGTAGGTGACCGCATTTCAAGCCTCAAGGAGAACGCGAGAACGCGGGAAAACTCTAGAAAATCGTTTTCCGGTGTCGTCAGTTTTCGTGATAGATTGACTTGAAACGTAGTTAGATTAAAATGTAGTTAAAATGCTGTGTTGTGACTTGTAACCAACCAATAACAATTGTGATTTTGCTTTTAGAGTCGGGAACCTTCATTGTATATTTGATCACATTCCTGGGTTACGTTGCGTGACTAGTCACGCAATCTCCTTAGGAAGACTGCCTAAGAACGGTCGTGGAAAAAGAAGGCTCGAACCACATGACCGTTAAGTAAATTACCTTGTGGTGCATATCAGGAGAATGGAATGATGTTCCTTCCGTTTTCTTGAATGGACAAAATACTGAGAATTTCAGGAAATATAGTTCAGGTAAATGTTGATTGAAAGTCCAGGAAGGGCGTGCAACGACTATTGTCACGATAAACCACGCTTTGGTCACGTCTTTAGAAAATCTGCAAATGAATCGTACGGTACGCCATTCGTGAAAATTGTTGGAAGACTTCTGA